ATGATGATTTCATGTCCCTCCCACTGTCTACACCAAAACTCTCTTCTTTCCTCGAGACCCGAATACTCATTTTAGGATCCGATCCGGTTTTCACCGTCTCATGAAGCGTGGCAAGAAGAACTCGGATGCGGGTGACCCGGTCACCAAGTCGGATACTCGAACCGGGTCCAGCGAATTGGATGCGGCGAGACCAAGTTTGAGCTCGATGAAATCGATGGGTCTGCTTTTAGCGGTTCTTATGGTTGCTTCGGTTATGTTTTCTTTGTCGGTGGTACTCAGAGACCCACCTTCCGATGATGTTGTGGAGAGTGATGCATCTTCTAGGGTTCTTCAGATCAGATTCCACCAAGGTAAAGATTTGATTTTTGCCTCTCATTTTGTTCTGGGGTTCATATATTTTAGTGGATTAACTCAAAAGTCCCATCAGAAAAGTTTTGACTTTAAAATCTTTGTCCAATATGGTTTGTTTTATAAGGAAATTTTCATGCTTCAATTAGTTAAAAAGATTCCTATACAGGGGAAAAAAATTTGAGACGTGTAATTAGGAATCCTTAAATTCTGAATCTTTTGCTACAATGTTGCGTAATCTTTGTCTTGAATTAGTTTCTTTTTTTTTCCCCTGCAATGTTGCATTAATTACACTCGTTTCGGTGGCTTTGTGGATTTCAGCAATGGATTCAGATGGTGGACTAAGCGAGAAGAAGGAAAAGGAAAAGCTGGGCAACATTAATGTCCCTCGTTTCGATAAAGAATCGTGCTTGAGCAGGTATGAGGCGAGTTTATATCGAAAGGAATCGCCTTTTAAGCAATCCTCTTACCTAGATCATAGATTACAAAGATACGAAGATCTTCATAGACTGTGTGGACCATTCACTAGATCCTATAACTTAACACTGGACAAACTCAAGTCGGGTGATCGGTCTGATGGTGGAGTCTCTGATTGTAGATATGTAATATGGTTGAACTCCAATGGTGAACTTGGGAATAGGATGCTGAGCCTAGCTTCAGCTTTTCTTTATGCTCTCTTAACAAATCGGGTTTTACTTGTCGAACCAGGAGTTGACATGGCTGATCTTTTCTGCGAGCCATTTCCAAACACTTCTTGGTTTCTTCCCGTAGAGTTTCCGCTTAAGAACCAGCACAACGGCTTTGATGAGCAGTCTCTTCTTCGCGATTCTGGCAACACGATGTTTGCATATCGGCATCTTGTGCGTGATTCCACTGACCAACAAAAGCTTTTCTTTTGTGAGAAAAGTCAAGTTTTGTTGGAGGAAACCTCGTGGTTGATCATGAAAGCAGAAAATTACTTTGTCCCATCTCTCTTCTCGATCTCTTCATTCCAGCAAGAACTCAGAAAGCTCTTCCCAGAGAAAGAAACAGTTTTTTACTTCTTGAGTCAGTATCTCTATCACCCAACAAATGTTGTCTGGGGTCTCATTACACGATACTATAGCGCTTATCTTGCTAGAGCTGATCAAAGAATAGGAATCCATATTGGGGTCTCTGATACTGGAAATGATCGGTATCAGCATTTGGTAGAACAGATTCTAGCTTGTGGAATTAGACATAAGCTGCTTCCTGAAGTAGATAAACAGAGACATCTCCCTTCAAGCCAAGTTCTAAACCGAAAATCAAGGGCAGTGTTCATTTCATCTTCTTCTCCAGGGTACTTTGAGAGTATCAGGGACATATATTGGGAAAACCCAACAGTGACGGGAGAGATAATCAGTGTTCACAAGCCGAGCAACAAGGAATATCAAAAAACCCAGAGGAACATGGAGAACAGGAGAGCATGGACTGAGATTTACCTTCTGAGTTGTGCTGATGTGCTGGTGGTCACAAGCTCGTGGTCCTCACTCGTGGACGTGGCTTATGGCCATGGAGGGTTGAAACCATGGGTATTGATCAATGCAGAGAACGGGACTGGCCATGATCCTCACTGTATTAGAGCAAGGTCAATGGAGCCCTGTTCCCAAACACCACGGTTCCATGGATGTAAAGATTAAGAGATGAATTGAGTAGAGGTTTTTTTTGCCTTTACTAGGTGTTGAGAGGTCTAAAGTTTCTGAGTTTCCCAATAGACACGTAAGGAATATGAGAATCAACCAAATGTATAAGTTCATAACTTAATCGAGTTCTATATTTTTTCCAGTACATCTGTAGGTGTTCTTATTCATGTCTACAATAGTATACATTCAAAAGTAGAAACCTATGGACGAAGCTAAAGTTGCTCAATGAAACTAAATTAGAAATATTGAAAGAAAGGGTTTTGAGACTTACAACAACATATAATGGGGTTTTGCTATGTACACAGCTCGGCAACAATGGGCGTTTTAATCTTTAACGGCCTGTCTGCAAATGGGGCACGACCCATGTCTGATGAGCCATTTATCAACACAAACTAGGTGAAACGTGTGATCGCATCTTGGTAAGCTTCGTGTGATTTCCCCTACTTCGATGTCCTGTAAATGCCAAAATGTGAGATGAACTCAGCGCCATGAAAAGAAGTTAAATCAATTCATGTAAAACATATAGAAGTAGACGACACCTGCAGACAAATTGTGCAGTGAGTTATCTGCCTCTTCACCATTTCACTTGACATGATATAGCATGGTAGTTTCCTTAAAGAGTCACCCGATAAGCCTCTAGCTTCCAAGTCACCATAAACATCATCCCGCTCTCCATAGCTTCCATCGGAAATCCTTAACTGTAAAAAGTATCCAAAACTGTTTATATCAGTCTTTCTCCATCAATCCAAACTAGATGAGATTGCCGAACATCGAGTAAACACAGGATGATGCAGGAACACAAGTGTATAAAACTCCATTTACAGATCTTCGAAATCTGAGGAATCTAGCTATTCTAATATACTCACGAGACAATGGAGGGAGTTTGGGCCAGAGTTGCTCAGACATCCTTACTCCATAAATTAAAATATTTTTAAGTGGTCATGTTTCATATAGTAGCTTTCAGTACTACTTTTTAGTGTTCTCACAATAGTAGAATTTCATAGAACATTTTTTAATCATACAAGTGAAGATGAGTAAGAATAAAACCTGCCAGTGGTGTGAATTTAACATTGTCGTCATAAGTTGTTCATCTACTAGTCTCCCACGAAACAGTTGCTCAACAAAATCTGCCTGGATCCACAACAAAAATAAAGACTTCGCTTACTCATGATAAACAGTCAAAAGTACAAAATCTGGTAGGAAGTGGAAAACACAGTTATATTCAGCATTGAGAAACCATGGAAATGGTTCAAATCTTCCCCCACAGATAAAAACAAGAAATAGAAACAGACTCATAATTCAATACACCGTAAAAGCACAGAAAAAGCTGGTTTCAAGGGATTGGAGGGTATCATATAGAACCACTAAAACTCGCCCACACAAAAAGTTACAGCGAGACATGTTGATGCGGGGCGTATAAATAGAATTCTAAAGTTTGAGCCATATCCACACGACCTAAAGCGCCATCGAAGTTCAATCGAGCTAGCTCTGCACCGCATTAACAACATAAATCGTTCCTATTACCTTGGTTGATTATCTCATCCTATATGTTAAGGAGGGCTTATGATTGAACAAATGATTAGAAGAGGGACTTAAACGAAGCCATTCCTGTCATCCCATAACTTTAGTGGCCCACCAGTAACATGTCAAAGCTTATGCCATTATTTCTTCCACCAAACTTCTTTACTCTCAGAATCCTTTCTCCATCTCGACCATAAAGTCAGTTGAAAAACTCATCTCCTATTCTAGAAAATCTTGTAAAGATTTCTCAGAAGAATTTATGACTAACCATAGATGATGGACCCCTTGATCCTGATAACTCTAAATACCAGTACGCACGAGACGCCTCCAACACTTCAACAGAAAGAATAGCTCCAGCGACAGCGCCAAGTGCAGCCCCACGTAGGACTCCATACTGAGCAGCTCTGCCTGCCACCGCACCCGTAACCGCTCCAGTAAAAGCTCCAGCTACAAGAGATTGAAAGAACAAGAATCGTTTACTAAACAACCAAAAGGATCATCAGGCAAAGATGGTGATGATTTTTTCTAAGCCTAGAGGCACCTTCAACAAAACTGTGTCACCTGATCACATCAGAGCGTTCACACTTGAGATGACCAGGGACTTTTGTACTAACCCAAGGATTGAGTTTCAACAATTAGCTACACAAGTTGTTAAAAACGTATGATACTCAACAAAATCGAAATCTCCCTTCTCATAAAAGGAACATTGGTCCTAAGTTGTTGAAATTTGGAGGATAGAACTACATAATACGTCTTAATTCAACCATTTGTTTCACATGTTCTGTTCATGGATATTCAAGCAAACAAAAAACAAAAAAATGTATCCTTTCGCAAAACTTGCAGGGCCCATGAGTAGACCAAAGTGTAGAAACGAACAATTATGAAAAAAGGGAAAATTTCGTCTAAGTCAAATCAATCTATTGATCAGTGACAAAACAAAGACGATTAAAATAATGGGAAAATTAATGAATGAATCACCCATAGCGAAAATTCCAGTAAGAGCCCCAGAGAAAGCGCCGGCGATTAACCGAGAAACTGTGTCGATCGTTGAGTCGGCGGTTTGTTCAACCTCGACGGCAGGAGAGAGGATCGCATCCATAGGGAG